TTGATGTCGTTGATAAATAAATTAAAAAATAAAGGGCTAAGATGCGAACCCTGGGGAACACCAGATGTAACAGGGACGAAAAATGAGCAAAAGTTCTTAATAAAGATGGCTTGACTGCGCTCTCTCGGAGTCTTACTCCAGCCACCGAAGCAGATCACCATGTATTCCGATTTCGCCAAGTTTCCTAATTAATAGATCATGCGGAATTTTGTCAAATGCTTTGGAATAATCTGTATACACAGCGTCTACCTGGTTGATCCATTGAAGAAGCTACCATATACACAAACTCACAAAGATTTGTTTCAGTAGATTTTTCAGTTATAAAGCCGTGCTGCTGGTGCTGTCCAATAATAAAAGTAGTAAGGGATAAATTATAGAATAAACACACTTTTCAAATAACTTCGGGATTATACAAATTTTGGAAATACCTCTATAGTTTTGAACATTATACCTATCACCAGATTTATACGTGTACAATATAAGACCGCTTCCAGTCGAAAAGAACCACTACAAAAATATAGCTGAAAAAGAAAGGTAACGGGCCAGAAAGAGATTTCCAGCATTTTTTTTAAAATATTACTGGAACATCATCCGGTCTACAACCTTTTGTGACATCAAGTGTTTTTAAATGTCTTTCAACTAAGGATTTACGAATGTTGAGACACTACCACAACTACCTATCTGTTGTAGTATGAGATGAAATATTCTGCCCTTGGTTAGACTCAAATACAGACTGTAAACAAATAAGTACTAAATAAGTTGCACACATCACTACCCTCCGTGCATTGCACATCATTCAAGAATACCGTTTTAGGTATTTCACCCGAATTCTTTTTCGACTTTACAAATGACCAAAATTTTTTGATGTTATCCTCGGCAGTGTCAATATATTTATCATAACAGTCAAGTTGCACCAGTTTTGACGTCTGCGATGTAGGTCGAATGTATTGTAGTCGCTCAATCTGCCTTACAATTTCCAACGTTTATGAAATTTCAATTTTTCTTTTACAATTTTACCAAACTTCGAGAGAACCAAGGTGGATACCGCGATCTATGTTTCACTTCCATTATAGGTACGTAATTGGAAACAATTTTGTTAACAATATCATAACATTCAACTTTGGCCAACTCAATGTTTTTTTTAGTTTTAGAGATAAGACCAGTCAGTTGCCATTAAGGCTTCATTTACTAAACTATAGTATGCCTTATCAAATAATTTGACAATTCGAGGCACAGAGCTTAAGTTTTGGTAATTTATTATCTGGAAGTCACAATGCAATGCAGGATGATGGCCATCCTCAGGCACAAGTGGCCCTAAACATCGACTCACTTTACACACTGAACTGCAAAAAACTAAATCTAGTAATCGATTATTGGTATTAAAAATGTTGTTGTTATACTTTAAGTCAGTGAAGTTCAAGAAATTGCAGACCGACTCTATAAGTTTGTTCATTATAGGTGTTATTAATGAGTCCTCTACACCCATCACCGGCTGATGGAGCCCATTGAGCATGTGACACATTAAAATCACCTACAACCGAGAACCTATCACATGACCGTGCCACCACACGATCAGAAAACTGCTTTAAAAAAAGTATCCAGTTAACAATAGTGCATGTATGTTTACAAAGAATCGGCGCGACATAGAGAAGTTGGCGCCAGTGCTGTTCCTGTTTTTGTGCCACATCACGTGCATCGTAAAGAAGCTGGTGTTCCACTTGGATGCACCCCGCATCGATCAGCTCATTGCGGAGCTTGAGGGTATGTAAATATTAGACACTTACGTAAACTTTGTTTAAGATTTATTAATTTACATCATAAAATTACATGTCAATACATTCTTTTAATTGAGACATTTAGAGGCATTGGTTTATACAATTGTTAAAAAAATAACCTGAACTACAGTGAATGGCAGTGATGCAAAGAGTCACATACAGTCACGTGCACAGATGCGGCGTACAACTCGCAGACACCACCGCACCGCGCCATGTTGCGCAGCACGGCGTCTAGTGCGCTGCGACTGCTGCGAGCATACGTGGGCTGCGCGATATTCACCTGCATCCTGTGGGTCATGTTCCCTCTCGTCGATCGCCTGCAGCAACAGGACATCGAGTTTCACTTCTGGATTCCGGTGGACTATAATCGACCTCTTACGTGAGCCTAAATCTATTCAAAACGATTTGTATTGCCGAATGGTTTTTGTAGTGTATTTTTGTAGGAATTTTAGATTACCTGTGTTCTATCTTCTAACACTAACCATATTTTATTTATCACGAGATTTGGTAAGAAAGTCATTTTTTTTACTTATGACAACAGAATGTATTTCAGATAATTTTTGAAATACGTCTGCTTTTTGTGGGGAAACAACTGGAATGAATACTAGTGGCACATAATATTAATTTCAGTTGTTTCCCCACAAAAAGCAGACGTATTTCAAAAATTATCTGAAATACATTCTGTTGTCATAAGTAAAAAAAATGACTTTTTTAAATGCTAAATGCTATTAGACAATGCTGAAACATCTGCAGCGAATTGCCCCGAGTTCACTAATCGGTCTTAATTACATTCGAAGTCTTAATGAAACTAAGTTAATTTTACTTAGTCCATGTAGAAGCGAATTGAGTATCCTTGTAAAACACTTGTTTATTCTTTTCAAACTACAATTTTACAATGTTGTTGAATATGATTAATTTGTATTATGCCGTTAATGGTAAGATTTTTGCAGATTTCCATTAGTCCTGATTTATTCTTATTATGTGACAACTCTGGTGGCGGTAGGGAACACCACGATGGACGCCTTCATTGCTACCATGTTGAGTCAGTGCAAGACTCAATTATCTATCTTACGGTGGGTACTTTTAACAAAAGAGCTCTTTCTATAAAATAATTTTATAAATCAGTTATTCTGAATTTGTTCATTTAAGAATGAACTTCGAAGATCTACCGTTGCGCGCTATGGAGATGGCGTACAATTCTACGAGCTACGAAGCGGCGCTCTCCAAGTTATTCCTGGATTGCATTCATCACTATCAAAAGATTTCTGAGTATAAGCCATTTGATACCATAATTAGTCATTATAAGAATACAAAAGAAATTTGAACGTTATAACCACTAATTAACGACGAAAAATATTTGTCGATTTCCGTGACCCATTGGTTTGTACGCCGGGTATCAAGGTGTCGCCTACTCGAGAGGTCCGAATCTCGGTGGGAGCCGATGTTTGTGTGATAAACACGAGCATTTTTACTCCAGTCAAAGATGTTTAATATGTATTTCTATATAAATATACTCATATATGTATCAGTATGTATTTTATCCGTTACCCTAGTATCCCATAATACAAGCCTACATTGCTTAGTTTGGGGCTAGGCTAATTAGCCAAGGTCGTGGTAGACGTCAATTATTTTTAAGTTTGATTAAAGTTGTGGCCGTAATTCTCTTAGCAATAAAATAACTCAAAACGCAACTTTGACAGGCCTTAAATTTTAATAACGTTTGTGATTCTGACTGTTAAGGCTTGTTTTGCTATATACAATACAATACAATACAAAACACTTTATTGTACACCACATATAACATTAAATTTAGTACATAACCAATTAAAAGTAGTGTTACAATGGGCGCCCTTATCGCTTAGAGCGATCTCTTCCAGACAACCTTTGGATGGAGAGGACTAGAAGGAAGTGGGAGAAACAATTTATTTACACCGGTAAATAAATTTTAAGGAAAAACTAGTGTTTATAAATTTTATAAATTTTTTAGTCAAACGAACATAAGTATAAGATAAGAATATAACTAGGTATTGTAGGCACCACAGTTTACAGCAAATTGTCCACTCCGTCTAATGTGAATTAGCGGTGGTATAAAACCCTCTCATTTGCTACACTGCAAGCAGGGGCACAGGTTTGGTCAAGTGTGGATAGGCGGGTGCTAACGACAACAGATGTAGTCGGAAACAACGGCTTAATAACAGAGGACAGAGGAGCACAGAAGAGCTCGACATAATAAGTTTTTGTCCGCCCATCCAATGACCGAACATTGGGAAAGTTGCCTTACTTTCACGATCGCAGACCGAATGCACTAATTACCTGCGACATCGAGAATGATAGTATTTAACATATCGTCACATCTACGGCAAACTTACGAATCTGCTTTTTTTAGTAAAAATCTAAAAAAACTGCGAATAATGGGGTACAAAAGTCACACAATCTTATATCAAGGACTGTTCCAAAAGTCTGATTGTTTGAACCTGTATATTATGTTTATACACCCAAAGTAAACTTACCAAATTAATATACGATATTTAGGCGTTGTAGGTTTTATGAAATTCAAATTCGTAAGTTTGCTATGGAAGTGACGATATTTGTTTCTTAGGTTTAATATATGTTAACCAGTAGGGGCTGGTAACTGCTAATAATAGTTATTTATTATACAAGAGTGGAAAGTTCCTTTTTAACCGCGTGCTCGATTTGGATGACCGAGCAAGCGAAGGATTCTAAAGTTGAATCACGAGCGCAGCGAGTGATTCTAAATTAGAATCCTGAGCGTCAGCGAGGGAAACAAACGAGCACAAGGTGAAAAATCTTTCCACTCGAGTGCAATACGTAACTTTTCATCCCACCTCAGCGAGGAAATGACAAAATGAAAAAGAAAACAATTTATAATGACAAAATATTTAAGCAATAAAACGTGAAAAACTAGAATGGCGCGAAGCACGCAAATAAAACAAAGAAACCAAGAAGGTTCCAAATTTAAATTTTTTCACAATTTAAAAAGTTCTAATCATAAATTTGGCACCATAGAGGTTACATTAAATAGGTTTAATGACGTTTTGAATTTACAATTATATTGAGTACTCATTATATGTGATGTTCTAAATTCAAATCTACTTTGCCGCTCAAGCGAATAAAATAGAATTTTCCAGCCAGATTTCGAAGCGCAAAATTACACTTTCCGAGGTGGTGGGATGAAAAATGTATTTCATTAATGATGGCAGAACGATGAACGAGTTGTTGCGTGTGTTCGGGCTGGCGGTGCTGGTGCAGTTCGCGGTGGGCGGCTGGATCCTCTGCATGGCAGCCTACAAGCTAGTCAGCGTCAGTTCTCCTTCATTTTTAAAAGCTTTTATTTAACTTTCAATGTATGTTTTCATGTTTGTTTGTTCGGGTGGAATCTTGCAACTCGATTTTTAAGCAGATATCTTTATTCGATTGCGCGAAAAATTTCGTGCACACCTTGAGTTTCCGTTCGGGAGATGCGAAATAACATCTCAAAAATGTTATTAAAATGGTCGTATGACAGAGCAGAGAATCTTTTAAGGATAATGAGTTGATTATACACATACGCACACAACACACAGTTACACACACACAAAACACTCACATACTATCACCAGTGTATCCATTCTTTTAAGTTGGTTGTATTTTTAGGCCGTAAGTTATATATTGTTAATTTTTTACTTCCCCCATAGGACGGGCTTCGCCCAGTATGGGTGACTATTATATTTTATTGTAATTTTGTTTATGATTAAATGGATTATTATTATTAGTTTGATGATCTACGGAGCCGAGTGGTTTCAAGGTGTCGCTACTACTCTACTCAGAATGAGTTCGAATCTCGGTGGGGGCAAATGTTAGTTTGATGAATACGAGCATTAGTCATGGATGTTTGTATATATTTCTATGTAAATTATACTTATATAAGTAATAGTATATGAATTCTATTCGTAACCCTAGTATCCCATAACACAAGTGTGAGTGTTGGAATATATTATTATTTTTTGTAGTTTCGATGACATACCATAGTTAGCTGTGTAAAGCCATTCTAAATTCAATATGGCGGAATACCTAAGGTGGCGGACTTGTTATTTTTGATGCACTCCTATAATATGGGTATTAAATGAAAGGACTTGCTTTGAAAGACTCGTATAATAAAGTAACGTCACCCTAAATTTAATATGACAGATGCAAAATATGGCGGACTAAGTTTATAAGCTTTCCTACAATATTGGTATCAAAGGAAACGGCTTGCTGAGAAATTGGTATTTTTGAAGTTCTCTATCAGGTACAGCGAAAACTAAAAGTAAAAAATAAATTAAATGTAAAAAACACAAACTTTTTTAAAAACAGCAATAAGCTTTTATTTACATGCGCTAAAAAGGATAAATTAAAAATTTTCTTTAAAACTTTTAATATGTGGCGGCGACATCTATATGCCCCACATATATACATCGGATGTAGGAAATCATTACTCACCATCCTCAAGAGATGGCGTTACCTGCACTGCGATCTTAATAGTATGGAAGCCTACATCTCGCAAATGAATTTCATTTCGCCTTCCTACAAATACGTCATTATACAATTTATATATTATAAAAACTTGTCGCAAGATTTAACTATGAAGATAAATAAAATTTGATCAGATTCATTTCAATTTTAAAAGTATCGAAACTGAATGAAGATGATGATGATATTTTTGCTAATAATTATATAATAAAAATAGTGATATTGTTAATTTTATCGTAATTAGCGGGGTTTCTATCATTTGCGAGTGAAAGAGCACTTTGCAAGTGAAACATCGGACACTTGAAAACAAACCAAATACAGGTACCAATCCCGCTTATTATAAAAATGTTAGTGGTCATGAAAGTTCAAACGAATATTTTGAAAAACAAATAGTTTAAAGAAAATATAACTAGAAAAAATTCCACGCGGCAGCAGACGGGACTCGAACCCGCACCCTTCGCAATCCGGGCGAATGCACTGACCAATTATGCTACCGTGGCCCTCACGGACCGCGTCGAAATTCCTCTAGCCATTCTGACGCCTGTCCGCGTGGAATTTTTTCTAGTTATATTTTCTTTAGATTAAAGGTCAAGCAGTTACATGCTTAAAAAAATATATATAAACAAATAGTTTTTCATAAACATTTTTATGATGATCAGAGAGGAAAAATATTTGTCACTTCTTGGATATTTTTATAAGAGACGTTTTTATCGGTTTCAGGTGAATATATTAAGCTTCGATTTCGTTTCTACAACGTTATTTCTGGTCTGCATCCTGACAGAATTGTTTCTGTACTGTTACTACGGCAATGAAGTGTACGTTGAGGTGAGTTAAACGTTATTAGTTTTTTAGTCTAAAGAATGAAATCATTATTAAGCCCATTTATCCATCAGTGTATCAGTGAGCTGTATGGGATGGGAGAGTATGTCTATTTATGAATATTAATAAAATCAACACCAACGCATAAAATCCAAATCTAATGCCACATTCCTTTCAAATAATAAATCATCATCATCATCCGCCTATTAATGTCCCCACTGCTGGGGCACAGGCCTTCCCTATGAATGGAATAGGGAGATTTGCCCATGACCCACCACGCGGGCCCAGTGCGGATTGGTGGGTGCTAACGCCGGGACCAACGGCTTAACGTGCCTTCCGAAGCACGGAGGAGCTCGAGATAGTAAATTTTTGGTCACCCATCCAATCACCGACCACTGCGAAATTTGCTTAACTTCAACGACCGCAGCCGAACGCGCTAACCGCTTGCGCCATCGAGCTCTTCTTTACTTATTATTATGACACAAAAGCATATGAATTGTATCTTTTATAACTTTTTACAAATATTACCCACTACAGAAAAAATATATATACAACGTTTCTAGTGAGAAAAGTTAAGTAATCAATCATTATTTAGTGCTAGTCAATCTCTCTGTATTACTAAGATATATATTTAAATGTTGCCTGCACCAGGCACATACTTACTTACTTACTTACTTAGATAAAAACAAAAAAAAAAAAACTCAAGCAATATTGAAAGTTGGGGCTAGCACTTTCTAGTGTTGAATCTGAAACAATGGTATGGTATCTGTTTTCGCGCTGGGGTTTGTTGAATTAGAAAATGAACAAATGACCGGAGGACAGTGGAAATAAGGGAAGGACTTACCCTTGTCGCGCACGTGCTCCGGGCAAACTTTCTTCGATAAATATTCAAGTTCCTGTTTTCTCGTCCTGGAGGCCTCCTTGATTGGACGCACTAGCACTATGCAACTTTAACTGTTTATATATAATAACACTGATAACATAAGGGATTATCAAACCAGAAAAGACGGACACGTTGATTTTTCACCTGCGCATTGACAAGTGAAGTCATTAAGGATCGGGCAAGAGAAAGGTGAAACACGCAATGAGTGCGAGGGAGAAAGGATTCATCTGCTCATTTGCGTTTCGATAACATCAACTTGTATTATCCTTCAAAAATATTTGTTCTATTTTGTTTGTTGAGTATTTTTATTATTCCTCTTTAAGGTCTCTCCCCACTACACAGTATCATACCATGACCGTGCTATGAACGTGTCAGGCAAAAAATATTCTTTGTATTAAAAAGTATGAGACAATGCCCACTAGCCCGTTCCGATTCGATTATAGAATCTTATTAGTTCCGATTCATAGAATCGTGAATCCAGTAGCGTCGAGTGGTTTTTTTGATTCTGTTCTTCAAACGCAACATACAGGTTGCATACAGGTTGCATACTGGTTGCATACGAGTTGCATACGGGTTGCATACGGGTTGCATACGGGTTGCATACGGGTTGCATAGGGGTTGCATATGGGTTGCATACGGGTTGCATACGGGTTGCATACGGGTTGTATACGGGTTGCATACGGGTTGCATACGAGTTGCATACGGGCATCATAGGGGGTGCACCCCGGCAACATACGGGCATTATACGCCGTCGATCCGTTTCAGTGGGCATAGCAAGCCGTTTCGTGTCAATTTCCGTGTTTGATACGGTCCTAGCACGTTCATGGTATGAAACGGTGTAGTCGGCAGAGACCTTTAAGGTTCTGAATTACGTTAAATCAAGTTTGGCATCGAGTTGACATTGTGTGTGGTGTGATACACAGAGTGACCTCATGGTGCAGTCGCTGTACAGCATGGAGTGGGTGCACACGCCGCTCGCGTTCAAGCGGTCGCTGCTGCTGACCATGGAGCGCGCCAAGCGGCCGCTGCGACCCGCCGCCGGCCATCTCATACCACTCTCACTTGACACCTTCGTCACGGTCAGTAAATTGTAATTAATAGGGATGATGACTAATTTTTTTTGGAGTTTACTCCTTAAGAAGCGATTTGCATATATCCCTTATATATATATATAAGGGATATATGCAAATCCGGTATGAGTAAAATGTGAGGAGTAAAATCTATCGATGAATGACCTCGTTACGTTTTTGGTGCGCATCCTATGTCGCGCAACTTTGATAAACAAAGATGACGGATTGACATTAATAAAATTTTTGAAATCTGAACTGAATTTAAATATTGTATCTGATAGAGCAATGGGGACAACGAGGTATGGTACAACCATTGATGCGGTATTTTCAAGATTCGTGAACCACGTATCTACGAACGTCCATGTATATTATTTTAGTTACCATAAACCACTTATTGTCACTATAATTAATAATGCAGACAATGTTGATTTAATTAATATTTAAAATAAATGATAATAGTCTGATAATAATAATTACATAATTTATCAACATTCCTAATGATATATTTATGCACATCTGAAATTGACTAATGTAAAAAGTTTAATGTAAAATATTTCGTCGATTAGTTATAATAAATGTATATGAAATGAATATATATATATTTATATATGTATATTATTTTCATTAATTTGTTAATTTACCCTTTCATACAGTATCAATCTTTTTTAAATTAAATAAACTCTTTTTGCGTCTGGTTAGACTATCGAACTTATGGAGTACACTCCAGTCGTACGTCGGAGCTGATACACACACACATTTTTTTCACATAATATAAACATTGCAGAGATATATTGATTTGAAAAATCGCATGACGTCATATTTGAGTACACTTATAAGTGAAAAGTCACTCAAAAGTGACGTCACGAGCCCCTACTCCCAAACTTTGACGCGCTAACTTTGTCATTTTTTAGTTGATTGCCCAAAGAAAAAATACGTGTCCATTATTTTTTGATCATCTAACTGACGGACTAAATAGAATTTCGTTTACTGTACCCCGTCATCACCCCTATTATTCTAGTAATTGCAGAGGCAGTAAAATTAATTTTCCCGATGTGCAGTATTTAAGTCACATGACATCAAACTATCTCTGATTGAAATATTAATAGTAAGTGAACAAGAAGTGATCATAGTTATCGGCTTTCAATCAGTGGTATTTTGGATCGAAATTGTCGCCATATAAATGTGACAATGAATTAAAATATTTCAGTGTTATTATTTAAAAAAAAATGTGTGTGTCAGCTCCGACCCACGACCGGAGTTTACACTCTAAAAAAACGATTGTCTTTGAACAGACACAAAACAAAATCAAGTTTGAAGAAGTCGGTTACAAGTAGAGATACACCAAAAGCTAATAAAAGCGTATTAAAAATAATATATGTTCTGTTAAAATGAAAATTTGTTATTTTAAGTTATTGTACATCTTAGTGTTTTTATTTGTTTTGTTACCTTAAGTCATGGTGAGCGATAACAGAGTCATGTTGTTAAGTTAAATATTTGTAAGGACAAATCTCATTTTGTCTTTGGTGGGCGATTATGTATACGCCATTTGTACATTTAAAATTTTAGTTCATATGTATCAAAATAGATGGTGCTGTAGTTCGTTGCATCACGCTTGTAAATATATTTAGAGCTACATATAGGCAAAACGTCACCTAACTAATAAAGAAATCTATGGTCTAACAAAATACACTGTAGTTTCAATTTAATTCTTTTGCACCTAAGCTCTCGGATTTAAGAGTCATTTTGGCTCGAACAGAGGATGCGCACCAAAAACGTAACGAGATCATTCATCGATAGATTTTACACCTCACATTTTTCTCATACCTCGCCCCTTATATATGCAAATCGATTCTTAAGATGTAAACTCCAAAAAAAATCCTTAACAGCTGGTTTTTCTTTTGCAGATATTAAAGTCATCGTACAGTTTCTACGCTGTTTTGAGGCAAACCAAGTAATACAGGCATCTTCAGCGTTCCTTTATTTCGAAGTCTAAGAAATCTTATTTTAGGGCTTCGTTGCAGTAGAATTAATGTGATAATTGTATGACAAAATATCACAAATATGAAATATTCACTTCTCTGTAATATTCATTTAAATTATAAATCCTAATACTTACTTATTATATAAATACTAATAAAAAATCAGTGTAATGGTATGTAATCCCGCATAATATGCTAATATGTGTAGTGAGCTAAATGTAATAAACGAATTAGACACTTATAATGTTATTATAATTATTTGGACGACTCGTTGGTAAACAGCAGCGATGCTGCTCACTATTTTATAGGGCGTGAATCAAAATCCTGTTATTCTAGATCGGTACTGAGGACATTGGCTGATGGACACAAAAATGTTGTCAGGGTAGTTAAGAGTATAGTGAACTTTTAGATATTGTTTACTTAGGTTACAGCGGCGCGCGATCCGCATCATAGGCGATGAGGAGGTGACTAAACACCTTGAGCCTCTTCAATTACGCCGTGACGTGGCGTCACAAAGCGCGTTTTATCATCTGTACCACGGCGAATGTTCTGTGGAGTTATTCTCTCTTATCCCACTTTCTCCTTTACTTCAGAGGACCACGCGCGCTGGCCTACTTTGTCACCGTCTTACTGTGGCCACAATTCCAACGCGTACAAAGAAATTTGGTGACTCATTTCTTTGTCGCACTATACGTAAATGGAATGCTCTGCCCGCTCCCGTGTTCCCTCCCTCTTACAACCTGGGATCCTTTAAAAGAGGCGTGAAGAAGCAACAAGCAGGCCGGCAGGGTGAGGATGGCTGGTGTGGCAGGTAGAACTGCTGTATCAGCTATCTTCGCGTCTGGACTTCACCTCCACTTAACATCAGGTGGGGTGGAGTCATTTGTCGGACCTGTATATAAAAAAAAAAACTTGTCAAAGTTACCCATAAGGTCACATAGAGATGATTCGGTTGGTCTAAGAAAAAAGTGTGCTCGTTCATTGTGAAACTGACAATAATTGCGGCCAGAGTAGTGGACTCTAGCATCGTAAAATATTACCTTCCGATAGAGTAATTACAAGCCGCAGCTGAACGTAGTTATTAGAGGGACGTAACGTGTAATTAGTTGTGCGACGCCCCCGTGTTGTACACGTCTAATATTATTATTAACGCAAGATTTCAGTATAACCCTTTGCTGGATTTTGCTAAGTAAATATCGTTTTAGTGATAAACTTATAAGGAATGTGACGAATTATTTTTTATGATTTTTTTTAAAGCATTTAACTGCTAGATGTTTAAATCTAAAGAAAAGTTTACTAGAAAAAAATCCACGCGGACCAGGCAGCGGACTGAATTATTTTTTTATACAATTCAGGCTTTCCGCGTCTTCATTTGCGTGGATTTGGGTATCAAAAAACATCTCAAAGGCCTTTGATGGGGATTAAATTGGCAGGAGTAATGGATAAAAACTATTATTTACATACTGTAGTCAGTTTTTTATATTAAAATAATAAATAAATAAAACTCTCAGCTAGGAATCGAACCCAGATTACCCGCTTAGCAGGCGAGCTCTTTCATGATCTTCCAGTTTTTCGGCATTAAATATATCCTAATTTAATAATAATTATACCTAAGTAAAATACGTTGTTTCTTGACAGGCAACACGTTTAGAGGGTTAAAGCGAGGGTTTCTTTTAATACTGAAGTACTCGATATGGTAAAATATAGCTTTATTTGGCAGCTGTGAGCTGTCCACATACAACTGTCGAACTCGGAACAAGAGAACAACAACAAAAGGACTTAACTAACACAAAATTCTTTATGCCAATGAAGCAGGAAATGTACGCGATAATACTCATAATCAATAACGTATTGTTTTGAAGTAGTAGAAATCAAACTATTAATATAATTAGAAAACATTTCGACATTTCGATGAAGATTTCTATCATCAACACAATTTATTGTTTGAAATCATGTCTGGAACCTGGACCTTTTAAATTTACAGCGACCTTGCCAAAAATTACATTTTAGTGCAGTTTTAGAATTTACATGACGGAACATATAAATATATATATATATCATTTACTGATATTTCTTTTTCTCGCTCGAAGGTCTTGATATGTATCGTGGTGAGATGTTATAATGGAGGAGCTCGATGGCGCAAGTGGTTAGCGCATTCAGCTGCGATCGCTGTAGTTAAGCAACTTTCGCAGTGGTCGGTCATTGGATGGGTGACAAAAAAATTCTATCTCGAGTTCCTCCGTGCTTCGGAAGGCACGTTAAGCCGTTTGGTCCCGGTTGCATCTGCAGTCTTTAGCACCCGCCAATCCTCACTGGGCCCGCGTGGTGGGTCATGGCCCAATCTCCCTATTCCATCCATAGGGAAGGCCTGTGGGCATTGGGACATTAAGAGACTGTTGATGATGAGATGTTATAATAACTTGTGGCTGGAGTGGTCAGGTCGCTGGCGGGCCGCAGCGTGGCGCCGCACCTACTACTGTTGCGCTGGTGCGGGTTCTGCCGCCTGCGCCCGCGTCACGCCAGCGCCGGTCACCCATCCCTCCTACAGCGGGCCGGCCGCCGCCTGCACGCCGTTTACTGCACCTTCGCCCTCGCCGCCACCTCCATCTACCTCATGCAGGAGTGTGTCTATGCGTATCAGGTAATCCTGTTATTACCTTAGATTAAAACAAAAAGGGTAGATACGGCACTAGCCTCACAAAAGTGATCCGCATGAATTGTGGTCCACGACCCTAATCGCTTTAGTCACAACTTGACATGCAAACGACGTACACGTGAACGCAAAAAAGAAATATTGCCAATATTTTGTGTTTATATGATAAAACAATGCCTAAGTGTGTTTTTAAAAAGTGCTCAAATTGCTCAAGAACTAAAAAAAAACCCACGGCATCACTTTTCATTCGTAAGTACTATAAAATATATTTTTTCATAAAAATTGCTGTTTGTTTTGAATCTTATTCGGTAGTGGCGTCGAGTACTGGTCGCGTGATCGGTCGGTAGTGCAGTGACGCGGATCTCGCCGTCTCGTTCGCGCTGCCGTTGAAACTTAACGTGCTGTTTCGCTCGGGTCGGTAATGCAGTGACGCGGATCTCGCCGTCCCGTTCGCGCTGCCGTGGGATCAGTTTTTGTTTGATGCAAGTAGGAGCGTACCGTATCTACCCATTTTGTTTTAATCTAAGGTTATTACATACATTAGTGTGATACTGTATAACCAACCTTCATGCTTTATATTTAGCAAAGCATACAAGATGCTGGATTATGAGATCTCACTCATACAGCTTTCTGTACTGTTGGGGCCAAATTAAGATTTATAAAGGTTGATAGAGGCATTTTTTTAAAGGTTGATTTTTTATTTTTTATAAGATCTTCTTTTTTGCGCGTTTGCCTCCGAATTCACCTGGTAGAAAGAGAGAGTGGAGATTGATATGAATCTCGACTTTTTAAGTCCCCAAGGTTTGTAGGTTAGGGAAAACAGACACAGGAGGTCATCCAAACCTCTGACTCTCTGTCTTCTCGTCTTTCTGTCCTTTCTTTGGAAGCAATCGAAGGAGACAGAACCAAACATTGGTGTGTGTATTGGTTAGACACAGGTACTAGGGATATTCATTTAATATCGATATAATGAATTTATTAGATATTTGCCATACGATATATCGATTGATTCTTAGATTAGATCTAAGATTTTTTTTATTCGATATATTTATAAAAATATCGAATCGAAAAACTAACGCTAACTCATAATGACAATAAAACCAAAGTAAAGGAGATTGGCAAACCAAGTGTCATATAACCAGAAGTGGGATATATTGAATTTATAGATCATAATGCCAGTAACATTTCCCAAAAAATAAAATTCACCATAACAATATGCCTTACACGCGCTTTAGGTTTATGACGGTATCTTTTATCTACCCCTTTTTCTGTTTGACTTCTCCTTGCTTATTTTAATTCCCATAAATAAAAGCAAGGATAATCCTATTAGAAAGGGATAAAAGGCCTCCGTTTTCTATCTCTTACTCATTCCGTTTTAATCTCATCACCGTCTTAGCAGTATCTATAATTCTATTAAATTAATACTCATAGTAAATGAAACTTGTGAAGAATATTCGATATTGAAAAAATATCGAATATGTTTTCATACGATATATCGAAAAACATCGATATCGTTTTTCGATATTTTATATCGAATACATGTATCGATATATTTTTTAAGTGTACACCCCTAACAGGAACACAACGACATGGACAAGCTGGCGCGTGTAATGTTCCTGCTGCTGTGTCACATCACGTCCATCATCAAGCAGGTGGTGTTCTACACGGATGCCGACCGCATCGACGATATGATCGCAGCTCTCGACGGTCAGTGCCGACACCGCAAATTCTTGCCAACTATGTTTGTAGCAACGATCTCTGTAGACGACTTACGAATACTTCTAAATTTCCGTGTACTGTTCGCGTAGGAATCTTCCGTGTGTGAAGTCTATATTAGTTTTATGAATTTAATTTTGGTATTGGTAATCGGTTGTATCCATGAATCATGGGATCCGGATTTGGAAGCAGAAATCATAGAGGACAAATGCGCGTCAATTTCCTCGAACGGGAGGGGCTCTTCTTGATGAACTCTTTCTTCAAGAAACAACCCCAAAGGAAGTGGATGTGGCAAACCCCCAACACTATGACTAACAAAGAGGTCGATTTCATCGTGATGGACAAGAGGTACATATTCAGAGACGTTTCCGTGATTAACGGGTTTAATACTGGTAGTGATCACCGACTCGTCCGGGGCTCTCTAAATATCAACTTTAAGGCCGAGCGCGTCCGTTTGATGAGATCCAGGCTCCGACCTACTCTGCTCCAATCTATAACAGGATTTGAAACGTTCCAGACAAATTTGGAGTACCGATTTGCTGCCGTGGAAACCACATCAGACATAAACCAAAACCTCGAAAATGTGGTTCGGTTCCTTAGGAAAGAGGGTACGAGACTATGTGCAACGCAGCGTAAGGGTAGGAAGTCGACGCTTTCGGACGTTCGACGAACATGCTCTACCGGAACCGATTGCAATACACGGTGCCGTTCTCGAAGCTGTTCAAAAATATGTGTACCTAGGCCAGTTAGGTAGAAACCACTTTGAGGACGAGGTAAAAAGAGGAGTTCAGCTAGGTTGGGCAGCGTTTGGGAAGCTACGTCACGTCCTGATATCGTCGATCCCAGAGTATCTAAAGACGAAAGTCTTCAATCAGTGCGTCCTACCTGTAATGACATACGGAGCCGAGACGTGGACACTGACGGTATGGCTGGTCCACAGGTTCAAAGTCGCTCAGCGCGCAGAGAGCGAGCAGATTAGCAAGTTAAAGTGGCAGTGGGCTGGCCATGTTTGCTGAAGAACCGATAACCATTGGGGTAGATGAGTTCTGGAGTGGAGACCGCGTCTAGGCAAACGTAGTGTCGTCCTCAGGCACGATGGAGTGACGATTTGCGCAAGGTGGCTGGCAGGAGCTGGATGCAAGTAGCCCAAGATCGATCTGAGTGGCGTGCATTTGGAGGCCTATGTCCAGCAGTGGACTAAGATAGGCTGTTGATGATGTTGATGATCATTGGTAATGCATGATAGATACACGGAGATACTTTTAGATGATCGTTGTTCTCTGTAAGTGGTAGTTGTCCTTTAAAAATTACTTTTTTTCTAATGTCGTAGATGTTTCTTTTTATTTCCTTCAGCTCCAGTAAAGCTTCAAAAGGCCCATATTACAATTTATCTGCATAAAATTGTTTTCATTTTAAGAAGATCAGACCGAATTCGATTCCTCGCCGGTAAACCTAATTTTCAATAAAAAATTTCGTTGTAACGATTGCTACTAAAGATTGTTGAAAAGGGAATTGCAATGTCAGTCATGCATAAAATTTATTTAAAGATAAATAAATATTAAGATTAAGGATTGGTCCACAGATCGCTTATTCAACCCCAAGGAGTCATCGGCGCAGGCCCTACTGCAGGGCACGGCTCGCAGCGCAAGGCGGCTGGTGCGGTGGTACTCGTCCACCGCGGTGGCCACCTGCGTCATGTGGATCATCTTCCCCATCATGTACTACGTTAGCGGCCACCAAGTCGAGTTCGCCTTCTGGATCACTGTCGACCACTCAGGACCTTTGATGTGCGTATCTTTTTGGGGTTTCGTACCCAAAGAGTGAAAGTGGGACTCTACTACTTAGACTCCACTGTCCGTCTGTCTGCCTGTCACCAAGCTGTATCTTATAAACCATGACAGCTAGTTGCAGCCATAACAACAAATACTAAAAACAGGATAAAATAAATGTTTCAGAAGGGATCCCATACATCAATCGTGATTTTTTGTCAATTTTCGATATTATAATATCATCATCAGCCTTATAATATCCCCACTGCTGGGGCACAGGCCTTCTCTATGGATGGAATAGGGAGTTTTGGGCCATGACCCACCACGCGGGCCCAGTGCGGATCAGTGGATGCTAACGACTGCAGATGCAGCCGGGACCAACCGCTTAACGTGCCTTCCGAAGCACGGAGGAGCTCGATATCGTGAATTTTTGGTCACCCATCCAATGACCGACCACTACGAAAGTTGCTTAACTTCAACGATCGCAGCCGAACGCGCTATCCGCTTGCGCCATCGAGCTCCTCAATATTATTATAATATAGAGTCTAATATTGTATAGATAATGGTGCAGAACAATTCGCACGCGAGTCGGAAATCCTTCATTCGAAGTAAAGACCCTAATCCATCTCAGTTCCGAAGTCTAGTTGCAATAATATGTGATACAGCAGGTAAAACATACCCTCCAATATCACATTTCCGAACTAATATTGGCCATTATCACTAAAAAAAATCAACCAAATCAGTTGTGTTAAATGAACCAATGTACCCAAAAGAACAATTCTTAACAAACAAGCTGCAATACATAAATGTAGTCGAATTTAAAATAAGTTTCTAAATACTATTTTCATAAGAATAAAAAGTCCTAGAAACAGCCCCAAAGATAGATGAAGAATGTCTACAGTAAAAAAATGCATTTAAATTGAACTTAAACATTTTACAGGTTCACGGTGTTGTTAATATATTCTTTCTACGTAACTACTTTGGTCGGGATTGCGAACACAACCATGGACGCTTTTATGGCTACGATCCTATATCAATGTAAAACGCAATTAAGAATATTAAGGTGAAATAGTTTTGAAAGTTTTGTTTCACTTTATAAGGAACTATACAGTATGATTTTAAAAACCCTTTTTATTAGTTTAGGTTGAACTTTGAAAATCTTGTGGAGACAGCAAATAAAATTGTTGCAGCAAACCCGCAAGAGTTATACGAAAATGTTTTGATGAAGTTGTTTTTGGAATATTTGGAACATTATAAACAGATATCAGAGTAAGTACCTATTGCTAAGTCGATTTAGTACGCAATTAGGAATATTAGCAATCCTATAACTTATATGTAAATATTTTTCAGGACTAATAATTGCTTACAAGATATATTTGGTACATCAATTTTAGTCCAATTTGGGATTGGCGGGTGGATTTTATGCATGGCCGCTTATAAACTTGTTAGCGTGAGTCAAATGATCAATATAAGTTATGTTATTAATAAAAGTTTACTTACAAGACAGGACCATTTTAACGTTGAATAGCTATCAGGTTCACTGCTACATTAAAATTTTATTAGAAATACCTTAATTTTATTTTTTATGTTTCAGTTTAACATTCTCAGTATAGAGTTTGCTTCGATGATTCTTTTCATTACATGTATCCTCACCGAACTGTTTCTTTACTGTTATTATGGCAATGAAGTTACTGTTGAAGTAAGTATTAATGATAAAAGATTTTTAATTTCAAATCATTTTAAAGACAAATAAGTATGAAAAGCTGACATTGATAATCTTTTTATGTTATGCAACCTTTAAGAGATTTTACATACTTGGATTGGTAAATAAAGAAAAAAATGGGTGCGTGTACTTATGTAGGCGCGTGAGAAGTTATCCTTCTTTGGCATCGTTTAAAATTAGTTTTTAATTGCATGCAAATAATTAATTACAATAAATTAATAAAAAGTCTGGAAAAGGACACAGTCAATAAAGTTCAGTTTTAATTTGAAAAAATAAATAAATAATCAAAATATTCAATTAAAATCGCTACTGAATATAATTTATTAGAACATATGTGATTTGCACTTGTATGAAACTCAAACACGTATTCCGAATATACAAACTAGAAACATGTGGATAAATATTATAAATATGAATACCTATAACTGTTACTTTATTACAAAAAATAAAGATGTGGTTTTTGGTTCTACTTCACCAATGGTCAAGAGATGGCGCTGTAGTCTCCTGAATCGCGCTTTGGTTCCGTTGTTCCAGATTAATAAATACTTTTGATAGGCCTTCACAATGCAGTCGTTAGCACCCACTAAATAGAGATTCTATTTCTATTTTGTTGGTAGATTTTCTTAATGTGCGGTAAACACAAAAGTAACAGCATGAAGTTGGTCGCTTTAGCGCTTTAGCGACTGTAAAATTTTGTGTTACAGTGATGCGCGCGCATCTTAAAATTTCACTCTCATCATTTTTTCATAACGCGGCTAAAGAAGTATAACTTCAAAAATTAGGCAACTATTTCGTTTCGTTAGAGCGATCGAGTGATCGAGTCGTTGTACAATATGGAGTGGCTGCAGGCACCGCTGTGGTTGAAGCGGTCGCTGGTGCTGACGATGGAACGCGCCAAGAGGCCGCTGCGGCCGGTCGCGGGCCATCTCATACCGCTCTCACTCAACACTTTTATCACGGTATAGTTATTTTGGATGATCGAATCGTTGTAAAGCATGGCAAGGAAATTTTTGGTCACCCATCTAATGACCGACCACTGCGAAAGTTGTTCAACTTCAACGGTCGCAGCTGAACGCGCTAACCACTTACGCCATCGAGTTTCTCACAATCGAAACGCATGAACATATTATTTTATTCATGTATTATTTTTGTTCTTTCCGCTGCGATCGTTGAAGTTAAGCAACTTTCGCAGTGGTCGGTCATTGGATGGGTGACCAAAAATCTCGAGTTCCTCCGTGCTTCGGAAGGCACGTTAAGCCGTTGGTCCCGGCTGCATCTGCAGTCGTTAGCACCCACACCCACAATCCGCACTGGGCCCGCGTGGTGGGTCATGGCCCAATCTCCCTATACCATCCATAGGGAAGGCCTGTGCCTCAGCAGTGGGGACATTAATAGGCTGATGATGATGATTATTTTTGTTATAATTACATCAAACTAATTTTGTTTGGAATCTAATGCTACACAATACCTTTCTGAATTATATTGTCATCATTCATTGTTATCTATGACATTTACCAGATGCTAAAAATCATGCAAATGATCGTGTTAACAAATAAGTTAAACTTGAAGGTTTTGATTAATAGTTTCTTTTTATTGTAGATTCTGAGGTCATCTTACACGTTTTATGCTGTGTTAAGGCAAACGAAATAGAACAAACGAAACTGAAGAAAGTTAGTTGTGCGGTATCAACAAAGCCTGCGAGCATGCCATATTTATTTATTTATTTATTGAGAAACTTATTTAAACCTTTCTACGACTTATTATATTTGGTATTAGTGTTTCGTTAACAATTTGTTAAATTAAAGTAGAAAAATTAAGTTTTGAAAAAAGTTTATGACTGCTATTTATCATAAACCTCCGTTGTAGATATTTGGTTAAGTTTTAGACGAATATTCTTATTTTGTTCAATTTACTCATACAATATAACTATACTAATTATAGTATACTAATTATTTAAAATCCCTACAGAACATTCAATAGAATGTTCTGTATATTACATATTGCACCGAATACCGAATGTCTGTAGCTTTCCTGTCTTGTGCTGCGGGTCCGATTATATTCGAATTCCCGATTCTCGCATTTATTTGTGTATTAAACGCTTTTATAAATTCAAATCGAAAGCACGAAGGCTACACTGATAATCAAAAAAAAAAAAAATGTATTAGAGACAATGACATTCTCTTGATGAAAATTAAATATTGTTTAAAGGCAGAACAAAGTAAGTGAAGCACTCGAGCTAGAGTACTTGTTTGTAGAAGAATTTCGATGCTCGAATGAGATTCCTGTCGAAAGCATTTATAATATGCCAAGGCATGTTAAAATAAGCGTAGGCAGTGCGTGCGTATAATATGTGCGTCTCTCTCTCTCAAAATGAAATAAAATGTCGACCTATCCATAGAATAAAGCTACTTCTGCATAATCACAACTTTACAGTAGAGCGATTTTAAGTTTGTAAAATGTAAAATATGCTGTAACTTGTATTGGTATTTTTCTATCATTTGAATTTTTTTACTAATCATATAAAGCATTAAGAAGCAAATTATGACGCATTTATTGTTTAAAAAAAACTATATTTACGGCTTATATTACGTTATTTAAGAGTTTCTTATGTAATAATGTGACAATTTACTACGGACATCTTTATGTTACATATGCATATCAGACCTTATGCTTGGGAAACATGTCAAATTATGTGTAAATATAACTTTGTTTTACGTAATTTATATTTTCTGTCGCGTCACAATATGATAATATGGCAAAGATTGGGCAAAATCGATTAAACAAGAAAAATAGAATCAAACATTTAGTAAAAATTCTCAGTTTATAACAAAATTGAAGCCGTGCAGGCTGCGTTCTTGCCTATCCAAAAGGTTCTTGTGCTCTTGGCTCTATATTCTTCGGAAACAAACAATCACATGTACCTTTATTCAATTGTTATCTTCAAAGTAATATAAGTTTTAGAATAAATGTTTTTACCAGTAAAACATATGCGTCCGTTTCGCCTAAAAGTACAATAAAAGCAATTTGGTAACATTTTCATATGTAACTTTCTTCTATGCATAGGTCGATGTATACAAAAATATGATTATGACTGACAGTGAAAAATGGAACATAAGGCTCTATAATTTTACATTACATTCACGAGTAATTTACGTATTTTTACGGCTGCAAAAGCTCAAAATGTCTGTTGTTTGTTGATTGTTCGATAAAATCGCTTACATTACCTGCAAGCCACTTAGTATGTAATATGAACAGATTGAGTGATTAACATTTTTTATTTTGAAATTACAGGGTTGTGGTAGAATATAATTCCAAGATGGGTGTTGTTTCACAGTAGATAATGAGGCCTTTTTTGATAGAATGGTTCTTTATCTGAATTATTACTGGTATTTTAGTGTTGTTTGGATATTGCTGATTGGTGTTTATAGAGCCGAAGTCAGGTTAATGGATATAATTTGACAGCGCAGTGCTGTTGTACTAGATATAACATTAGAATCCTATTACGCAAGAGCGTAGGGGTGTTATCATGAAGCTAGCCGGTGATCGAGACTAAGTCTAAGGATTATAGTTTGTTACCAAGTTACTGCCCTTCAACTTGAACTTTTGCATAAAAAATATGTCCGCCTTGTTCAAAATTCCTGCATGTTTAATACAATATAAATAAAAAAAAATGGATGCGTGTAACTTATGTACGCGCGTGAGAAGTTATACTTCTTTAGCATCATTAAAAATATTTTTTAATTGCATGCAAATAATTAATAATTACAATAAAATAATAAAAGGACTGGAAAAGGATAGTTAACACAGTCAATTAAGTTCAGTTATAATTTGAAAAATTAAATAAATATTCAAAATATTCAATTAAAATCACTACTAAATTTAAGTTATTAGTCCATATGTAATTAGCACTTGTAAGTAACTAAAACACGTTGTGTCTATATAGAAACTAGAAACATGTGGATAAATATTATAAATATGAAAACAGTGATCAGAGGCGACGAGCGTGCCAACATTGTTTTTGACAACGCGATCATCTTATGGAGCTCCGTGGATCGTTCAAAGTACCTTTCGAACAGATGTCTAATAAATAATCCACCATTATTAGACACTAACATTCATAACGCGCCCACGGCCAACTTCATGCTGTTACTTTTGGGTTACAGTGATGCGCGCGCATCTAAAAATTTCACTCTCATCATTTTTTCATAACGCGCTAACGATTATTATTATAATTCTGTAGTCTCATTTTCCTGTAGAAGACTCCACGATATCATAGAACAGGGTTGCAAAGTCAGAGTGTACGCGCCACTAACGGCGCCGTACGAAAGTATCATTTGCATCACACAGGTATATTTGATAATTTGGAAATGGATTCGACTAACACCTAACACCATGTAAATTGGAGTAACTTTTTCGCTCTTGTATAGTTATATAAAGAAAGAGTTACCTACTTCGCACTTGTATAATATAAGTATGAACAACGGAATGTTAATGAATACACAATACAAGCGTAATTCAGATTCAGAGAGTAGAGAGGAGTGCGTCGCGCCGGGCCGCGGGCGCAGACGGTGCTCTCAAAAATTGAAAAATGAATCTCAGCTTCATTTGAATTTATTACGAATATAATTTTCATTCATTTGCATGTAATTCGATTTGACTTCGGCACGGTGGCTGGCCCCTGTTTGTTTACATCATTGTCTCCTCCGATCGGGACCTCATCTCAATCGCAAATCGCGTACCTTTGGTTGAAAAATCTCGAATAGATACACATTTCTGTTTTTCCAAGAACGACATTTAACAACAAAATCTTCCTTTGAATAAGAAAACGTTGGTACTAATGTTTCTTCTTATTTGAACGGTTCTATTATATTGATTTGAACATTTAATTTTATTTTTGTTGCTAAGTTCTTAGAAACAAACTCAAGCAAGCCACAAATGGAGGGTAAATGTAGTCTAATAATATTTCAACATTTTTTCGCCGTTTGTTGTTAACAAACACATCAATCAATCGGGTCGGGTGCTGGTATGGGATGCAACCTGTTCAGACACGCTGGCCCCTTCCCATCTACATGGAACCAACAACAGAGCTGGTGCGGCTTGTGAAGCGGCTGAAAAATCAAAAGCAAGCATATACAGGGGTCTAGGCTCCGAATATGATTTTGTCCCATTCGGTGTCGAGACCCTTGGTCCGTGGGGTCCTAGCGCTTTAAGGCTATTTAAGGAAATAGCAAAAAGGTTAGTCGACGTCACAGGAGACCGAAGAGCTGGCAGCTACCTCGGACAAAGAATTAGTCTAACCATTCAAAGGGGTAAAGCTGCCAGTATCTTCGGAACCTTGCCTAAAAGGACTCCTTTTAATAATATTTTAGTTATTAATTTTATTTTTTAAGGTTTTTAGTTTTATTGTTCTAGTATTTATATTTTACTTATATATAGTGTAATGTAATTAGATAGAGACTTATTTGTTTATAGTTAGTGTATTTTATAGATTTATGATGTGAAATTGAAAATAAATTTTATTGTCTAATCAGAATTTTGACACTTTTTACTCATTGTATACTAAGTAAATTCAACCAACGGAAGGTTGCATTTTCGGATAGTGTGGTGCTGCACTGGAACTATTGAAGGTAGACACTGGAACTCCCCATATTGACCAGCGAGAAGGGTGGTGTGCCTGTAGGGTAGCCACAATAAGTAAGAGTCTTCAATAGGGGTGATGGCGGGGTACAGTAAACGAAATTCCATTTAGTCCGTCAGTTAGACGATCAAAAAATAATGGACACGTATTTTTTCCTTGCGCAATCAACCAAAAAATGACAAAGTTATAGCGCGTCAAAGTTTGGGAGTAGGGGCTATTGACGTCATTTTTGAGTGGCAATTGTACCAAAATGTGACGTCATGCGACTTTTCAAATCAATATATCTCTGCAATGTTTATATTATGTGAAAAAAGAAAAAATACGTGT